AGAATCTTGAAAAAAAATGTATCATGGTTTCTTTAAAAATAAATATTGATATAAAAATAATAAAATATTAAAATAATAAAGCTTATTTTATTTATTTTGATTTAGTTTAACTTGATTTACTAAAATAACTACAACTAAAACTGAAAAATAATAAAGACTACATCACTGTACATGAATCCTTTATTATATAAATTATATATTAATATTGTTTTTAAACATCGTAAAGTAAATCTTTATTAGTGCATTTAAAAATGTATATTTATATTTAAAAAAATGACCAAAAATATATGGGCAGAAAATAAATGTATTTTGAAACATATTTTAGCAAATATATTTTTTGGCCTTTTTTTTTTTTGTATATTCTGAAATATATTTTTAAATATATCTTTCATCACATGCCATCGTCTGTCAAAAATAATATGTGAAACTGTTTGCAAAAAAAATAAATAAAAAAGTAGTATTTAGTGAGATGATCGTCAGTGCATTGAGTTCACGTCTGTAGTGTGTGAATCACACAGAAACGCTCAGCGTCTGTCGTTGTTTCAGTGATAATGTAGCGTGTCGAGTCCACTGCAGTCTGCTAACACACACTAGATAGTGTACTGCACTACAAAGAGCCGTTACACCATCAGAAACACAACCGAACCGCGTTACACTTCCATGAGACGCGCCGGACGAACACAACTTTCCCATCAGGACGTCCCGCTTTATGCATTTCCCAAGAGCTTCGAGTCGTGTTTGGGGACAGATTTGATTGGGTTAAACGCAGCCGTCACGGAGCAGAAGGGCACAAGCTTCCGAAAGGAGGAGGACAGTCCTGCCGAGGCTTTAAGAGCAGCACGCTAACAAACACAGAAGCACGCTGCTGATGCATTATTGATGCTGCGGCCTCTGCTCTGATGTGTGTGTGATTGAACGCAGAAACACTCGTGCTTCCACAGCCAGACGAGATAAAAGCAGACGCTTATGAAACGCCGGGACACTCCGGATGCTAATGCAGCGCCGGGTTATAATGACGCAGCTAAAGCAGCTCACACGGCCTCAAAAATGCAGATCATATTCACCAAACCACAGCTAAAAACTCAGATCCTCAGATCATGTTAACGTGAATCTCACGAAACCCACAAGAACATGTCTGGCACATTTCACAGCCAAAAATAAGATTGATTGATTGATTGATTTAGCAAAGACATTTTTTTTTAGTACCATAATTTTTTTATTTTTTATTGATTGATTGATTGATTTATTGCATTGTGACATTATACATACATATATATATATATATATATATATATGCCATATGACAAAATATGTTTTAAAATATATTTCAGAATATACAAAAAAAACAAAAACAAAATTTTTTTTTTATATGCTAAAATATGTTTCAAAATACATTTATTTTCTACCAACATATTTTTTTTTTTTTTTGTATATTCTGAAATATATTTTTAAATATATCTTTCATCACATGCCATCGTCTGTCAAAAATAATATGTGAAACTGTTTGCAAAAAAAATAAATAAAAAAGTAGTATTTAGTGAGATGATCGTCAGTGCATTGAGTTCACGTCTGTAGTGTGTGAATCACACAGAAACGCTCAGCGTCTGTCGTTGTTTCAGTGATAATGTAGCGTGTCGAGTCCACTGCAGTCTGCTAACACACACTAGATAGTGTACTGCACTACAAAGAGCCGTTACACCATCAGAAACACAACCGAACCGCGTTACACTTCCATGAGACGCGCCGGACGAACACAACTTTCCCATCAGGACGTCCCGCTTTATGCATTTCCCAAGAGCTTCGAGTCGTGTTTGGGGACAGATTTGATTGGGTTAAACGCAGCCGTCACGGAGCAGAAGGGCACAAGCTTCCGAAAGGAGGAGGACAGTCCTGCCGAGGCTTTAAGAGCAGCACGCTAACAAACACAGAAGCACGCTGCTGATGCATTATTGATGCTGCGGCCTCTGCTCTGATGTGTGTGTGATTGAACGCAGAAACACTCGTGCTTCCACAGCCAGACGAGATAAAAGCAGACGCTTATGAAACGCCGGGACACTCCGGATGCTAATGCAGCGCCGGGTTATAATGACGCAGCTAAAGCAGCTCACACGGCCTCAAAAATGCAGATCATATTCACCAAACCACAGCTAAAAACTCAGATCCTCAGATCATGTTAACGTGAATCTCACGAAACCCACAAGAACATGTCTGGCACATTTCACAGCCAAAAATAAGATTGAGTGATTGATTGATTTAGCAAAGACATTTTTTTTTAGTACCATAATTTTTTTATTTTTTATTGATTGATTGATTGATTTATTGCATTGTGACATTATACATACATATATATATATATATATATATACAAACTGAAATAAGTTTATGTTTAAGTACTAAAATTGCTAAAACTGAAATAAAATAAATTAATGCTAAATAGAAACATTTAAAAAATAAATAAAAATTACAAGAGCACATAATAAAATTACTAAAACGTAAACTAAAATTAAAACAAAAACTGCCAAGCTAAAAACCAAAGTTAACCAAAGTTTTAACCAAAACATTTTTGTTATTTTTGTTATTTAAAATAAATAAACAAAATAAAGAAATAAAAGTTAAGTATACGTTATTTCTCATTTTTTATTTAATTTAACTTGATGTACTAAAAAATTCACCAAACCACAGCTAAAAACTCAGATCCTCAGATCATGTTAACGTGAATCTCACGAAACCCACAAGAACATGTCTGGCACATTTCACAGCCAAAAATAAGATTGATTGATTGATTGATTTAGCAAAGACATTTTTTTTTAGTACCATAATTTTTTTATTTTTTATTGATTGATTGATTGATTTATTGCATTGTGACATTATACATACATATATATATATATATATATATATATGCCATATGACAAAATATGTTTTAAAATATATTTCAGAATATACAAAAAAAACAAAAACAAAATTTTTTTTTTATATGCTAAAATATGTTTCAAAATACATTTATTTTCTACCAACATATTTTTGGTAATTTTTTAAAATATATTT